TCATCCAATATCAAAAATACAGAATCCAACAGCAGTACGACAACATACAATTAAAAAAAAAAAAAACCTTAAAAGACATTTAATAACAAACAGACCTCATCAAATACCAAACAGATTTTATTCGATAACAAAAAGCCTTCATCCAATAGCAAATGTGAATAAAAAAATCAATACCGGTCAACCAAATAACACACACATACACACACACACATATACACACGCACACATACACACACACACGCAAACACACACACACACTCACATAGATCATCTTCGTTCGTCGCAAAATACTTGATGATGTTGAAAATTGTAAAGACAAGTAAAAGTCCTTTATTTGCTGTCTACATCACACAGGCCGCTTTTTATTCTTAGTTTACATCTTGGTGGCCGTTGTAGGTTGAGCCAACCTAGGAGCCGAGGTCAATAATAATAACAACAACAACAACATGTTTCAGTGAGACTGGAACCAAAGACCTTCGAGTAGGCCATAGGTACGTAAGTAAATAAAGTAAAGGACGCTTTCCACGCATTCAGGCGTAGTGGGCATATAAGGCTAGACCTATATTTTTATATATCAGTCAGCATTTGGTGGGTAATGTGGTCAGATCACTCCGGCCGCTTTTACTTTCCAGGACTGTGCCTTTTACCCATTCAAGACTAAGTGGACATGAGAGCCAAAAGAAATTTTTGGAAAAGTCCTTCCGCTGCCATTTATGTTTATATTGAGTTTTTCCTTAAATTCTAGGAGCCGATATCTTTCAATGGCTGTTCCATCAAAGTAGATTTTTAAAAAGTTGATCTATAAAAAATATGGATGCCAGTAACGCCCGGCAAAGACAATGCGGCCGGCCGTATTAATTGACCACATCGAGTGCAGAATGGTATATACATGTACGAATCTATAAGCTTGAACCCAGTATGCCTCAGTGAATAAAAATAAAGTAGTATCTCGGTTACGTTCGCTTTGGTATAGGGTAAACTTAGTATACGTCCTGTTTGGAAGCGAAATTGTCTGCTTGTTATACAACCTTTGTTTGGAATACAAACTTGTGTGAGTCACAATTATTTACGATCCAGCGATATATTTGTTCACCTCTCTCGAGACATAGCCACGGGCAGATGTCAGTGACTCAGTAGAGAAGGATCACCTGAACAAAGCCGAAACAAGCCGAAATGGCGTTGATTGGAATGACCAATGTCACATTTTTGAAACATCCTGAGCAAAATGTGAAAGAAAAACGTTCTTTTGACAGACTGTTTAGTAAACGCCAAACCTTGATGAGCCTCATCCGGGTCTAAGCAGCGAAAAGTGACCCCAAAAAATATAATTGTTTTTTTTTAAATGTGTCAGATAGTATCTAAATTATTTTATTCAACCCATTCAGTGCATAATATGTCAATAACATTAACATTATCTTTCTTTATGGGAACGGATTAATCATTTTCACTCTATTTCTTTTGGGAAAATCCACTTGGTATACGTACTGTTTGGTATACGTCCAAGGACCAGGAGTAGATTAGGCAACTATCTTCTTCTGCCTAACGAACCCCAATGGAGCATAGGCCAACTCACGCCAAGTCGTTCTATCCTTCACTATCGCTGGCAGCTCTCCCTATGTCCCCCCCCCCCCCCCCCCCCCATCTTTTTAACTTTACTCTTTGTCTCCTTTCTGCATGTGTTTTTTTTTTTCTTTCTTTATTGCTATGCCCTAGTGCGTAGACATTATGTTCTTATTCTGTTCTCAATTTTTATTAACCTGTGTTCTATCCAAAGCCAGCGTCTGATTTTCACCTCTTGGTCTACTGGATCTTGTTCAGTTCTTTCCCAAAGCTCTTCATTAGTGATTTTATCACACCAATTAATTACATCGTTTCTGAGCAGGCACCTGTTAATGAATGTTTATTAGTAATTGTCTTAGTTGTCCTCCATGTTTCGGCTCCATACAACATTACTGATTTGACATTAGAATTAAAATTGTTTATTTTACTAATAGTAATAGCTTTAACTTTTTTTTGGACCTCCACAAATTCCCTAAAAGCTTCTCTTACCTTTTGTATTAGTATTTTAATTTCCCTATCAGCCCCCCCCCCCTCCCCATCTTTATCTATATTACTGCCCAAATAGGTGTACGACTCCATGTCTTGGAGTTAATATATTGGCTCTAGATGAAAGGTAAACCTATTATCTACAATGTCTCCAAGTTTTATCTAATTCTAACCACTTGTTTGCATGTAACCAATATTTTGTGTACATCATGTTGGTTTTTTCGTCGTAATGCCCAGGAGCTCAGGTTATAGGGGACAGTTAGGTTCAGGGCCTCATGTCTGATATGGTTAATTAAGAGAAACCATATTACTATTTGCTTGGTCTATTCTCTTTGTATTTGATTGAAATTTGTTTTCCCGACATAGACACATTCTATTTTCGGAAGGAAAAACTAATGTATATTTAGAACTAATGTATGTTTTTCTATTAATAATCCTTTTTACTCGCATACTTATCAGGTTGGCAAATACATTTAGGGAAACACTGATATCTTGCGAGAATCCCATAGGCGTGTACAAACACGACTTTCAGGCAATCATTCAAGCCATATATTAAGAGAAATGCTACTACAATTTTACTTTGAGAGCAGTACCATACTCGTCCTTTCCACGCCACATCTGCATAAACCATGACATTCCCCTTTGTCTTCGATCGCACGTGCCTTCTTTTCTGGCCTATCCGGAATTAGCAAGAGGGCGGTGCTGCCTGAAACCTGGAACTCCTCCCATTCTAGTTCCAGAGCTTTTGGCAAGTCGGTTGTGCCACGCGATTCCATCGACTGCTTTCAATCAGCATAATCAAGTAGTTGCTGCTGAAATCTTTACAGAAATCTCTAATTGTCTGGGAATCATTCAGTGAATATTAGTTCCTCTTAGCAGCGTAATGATTCAGTTTCGTGTCACTGACATGTGGAAAACCACGCAATCGTCGTGGTACATATTAACAGTCATGCAGTTGACTATATAGACATTGTGTTTTCAGTGCGTTTTGTTGTACAAGCCCCCTGTTTTAAATATCATATTAATCAGTCAAGTACTTCCGTAGGGAATATAACACCATCAGACAAAATATACCTCCATTATTCTAAGAACTATTTGTATCTAACCGTTTGACAGGCTTAAATAAGCAAAGATAATACTGTGCAGTTTTTCCAAGATACATTATGTAGAGAAACTGCTCTGATAGTTTATGTCCGCACTTCAGTTATATGACTATATGGTGTTTAAGAAAAGTCAGTGTACAAGACAGTCTATAGCAGAAGAGTCTCGGTGATCGAGCTGAAGTAAGTATGATCTTGATTTTTGTCTGTTTTACTTATGGGCGCAGGGAGCAGCGGTAGAGCAATGGCCTCAGGTTTGCCTACTGGCTGAGTGGTCGTGAGTTCGCTCTGAAGGTCGTGGATGCGTTTCACGGCGGTGCTGTTCAGCTTAAGTGTGCAAGTTTTAGGGAGATCCCACGGGATCGTCGCTGGAGGGAGGGAGGTCGTGCTCTGTGCTATGCTTCGGGGAGGCAGTTAGTGTTCTGCGGAGAGAGACTGAGCTCTATGGGATAAAACCCAGTGCAATGCAGTCGATCCTCCCACCTTTACCTTTACCTTTGTTACTACCTATCCAAAAGGAATGCCTTGATCGTTTTAGTATTTGTGTTTATAAGTTATTTGTGATAGCCGTGCCATTGAACTATTCAGCACATCTGCCTTACTCTTCTTCTTTTCGTCCTCTTTTACCGCTTACGGTGTCGATGAAGATAAAAAGTCCTGCTTCGTGCTCTTCTGGCTGTTTCAACTATAGACACATCGTGGTGCTGTAGAGTTTCTCTGATGTTATCTTTACATCGTGTTCTTGGTCTAACTCTTGCTCTACCTAATTATCCTCTTGTGATATATGCCTTGTATGGTATAGCACCAGGAGGCATTCTCTCCAAGTGGGCAAACCATTTGATTTGCTGTCTTTGTATTTTGGTTCGGTGCCGTCTTTATCTCGTATGACCTCATTCCTGTTTTTTATCTTTTCTGGTCACTCCTACATTCTTTATCAGACACCTCATTTCCATGTGTGTATGCTCTAATGCTATGTTTAAATCCTGCTTCTTTATTCATATTGACAATACTTCTGTCTTTTCGATGTTGATTCCCATATTATTTGATTTACATTCTTCATTCATGGGTGTGAGAAGCTCTTGCAATTTCATGGCTGTATCTGCAATCAAGGTCTGGTCATCAGCAAAGAGTAATTAGTTGATGTTACTATTAATTTGTGGACCTAGAAAGCTTGCTTATAACTGCCTTTCTCACTGTGAATAATTTTCTTTCTTCTTCCGATACATCGGTAAACCTGTATTGTTATATGCTTGTGAGACATGATCAACCTAAAGAGAGAGAGAGAGAGAGAGAGAGAGAGAGAGAGAGAGAGAGAGAGAGAGAGAGAGAGAGAGAGAGAAAATACACGCAGCGAAGATGCCGTTTTTTGAAGAGAGTGCAAAGAATTTCATGGAATGATATAAAAGCGAATAAGGTAATCCGCTCGAGACAGATGAAAATGTTAAACCCATTAAAGAACATAAACGTAGACAGTCTTGCGTTTTACTAACATATTATGAGAAGGAAAAAACTTGAGAACTTAGTAACGACTTGCAAGATAGAAGGAAAATGAGTCAGCAGAAGATACGTGATTCTGGAGATCGTGTTTGATGACGAAACATGACAGTCTTATCGACAAGTCACATGATGATAAAAACGAGAATAATCAACATGACGATGATGTTGAGGATAAAATATAAACCCACTATAAAGAAAGATTCTTAATAAGTATACAAAGGATATCAATTATTCTAAACAGCTTGTTCAGAAATTTAGTCACTAGGTGTCTTCCAGTGAAGCGTTAATGAAAATATTTGTTGCATATCTGTTTCAGTTTAACTTATTATACATTTTTGTTTCTATTCAGCAGAAAAGATGACTTCTGAAGAAACAGCCAGCAGAAAGGGCAATAGTCCCGACGACAGCACATCTTCCAGTGTGTCAGCGACATCCCCCAGCCTAGCGTTGCCAGTGACAACAGGATCCACAGCAAACACAGGTTCTCCTACGAAGCTGTCCTTTTCAATTGACAGTATCCTAGCAACTCCTTTTGTAGCAAATTCCAGAATATCCGACACAAGCATAGACAGCGATAACGGGACTGAGGTCAAACCATTAGCGAAATGTAATGATCTCGACCTCTCGGGTAACCTCGAAAAGCGTCTCATATCTCGCTACTGTCCAGTATCTCATGTGGACCGAACAGAATTTGAAACTGGAGGAGAGAGCAGTTCAGATGAGGATTGTGCCAAATATTTTAGTCAAAATACAAAATGCAAATCTCCCACTAGGTCAAATTTCGATAATGGTAATAATAGTCATATAAAGAATAAAGACAAAATCAAACAAGCTAGCTGTGACAATACCTTCAATGTCGATAAAAACAATGACAACAGTGAAAGCGAAGAGCTTTTCAGAAAGCTGCTTTCAGAACCCACACTTAGCACAAACCGAAGAAACGCAACAATTCCAGGGTTTACTCTCAACGGTTCAAGCACATTATTGTCGCGTAGCTTGGGCTTGGAATCCAACTCCTCTGTACCTGGCGAAAGGAGCCTTATGGAGTCTGAGTATTTTTCGTGTACGAGACCATCATACCGAAAATTCAGCAGTAGCCACCAGCCCTCCTCATCATTTGCTGCATCTACAGGTCTGGATATTGTCAACATAGACAGGTGTCCTGGCATTAACTACAGGTAATTATTTGTCATTTTTGTCGTAAACCTATTTTTTCATATACTTTTTTTCGTGTTTTTAACCGCAATAAGTTAAAAAAAAAGTTTCTGGTGTTCATAGCTAACGACGAAGCCCATCTATGTAGTCTAGAAATGGAATATAGAATTGCAGCGATGGAAACCTGAAAAATCGTAACATGCAAAAATAGTAAGCATGTTTCGTAGCGGTGTTTCTGTATGATAGGTGTTGTTTCATAAAACTGGGTATAACCATTTCAAACAATGTCATGGAATTCTTCTTCTGCCTTTCTATCCCCCAATGGAGCATAGGCCCTCAACCAACTCACGCCAAGTCGTTCTATCCTTCGCCAATGCATGGAGCTCCACCCATGTCATCCCTATCTTTTTAACTTCATCCTCCAGCTCTCTTCTCCATGTGTTTTTTGGCCTTCCTTTATTCCTATGCCCCTGTGGGTTCCAATGTAAAGACATTCTAGTTATGCTGTTCTCCTGTTTTCTCAGTGTGTGTCCTATCCAACGCCAGCGTCTTTTCCTCACCTCTTGGACCACTGGAGCCTGTTTAGTTCTCTCCTAAAGTTCTTGGAATTGTCTGCGAAGAAAAGAAAATAGCAACTCATGGTCATCTGTCATGACCTAGAATATACTTCAATCCTAAATAGCAGTATCTCTAATAGCTTTTTCTTTTGGTTTTGGTTTTTTATGTGACACGTGCTTAAAAAAAACAACTTTGTAGCAGATACTCTTAATAAAGACACAACTATACTACAACTGCCAGCATCGCATAGTTAGACAAAAACAAAATCGAAAGCTTCTTTTTAGTTCATTTCGCTTAGCGTTGGTAGGTATGTCTCACTCCACCCCCGTTTCGTAAACTGTCAGTCATATCTGATATCCAGCGTAGTACTGCCTATATCACCCACCAAGTGCCGATTGATCTATAAAATATAGGTCTAGCCTTATGTTTCTAATACCCCTAACAGCGTGAAAAGGGGTCCTTTACTTCCCTTTTTAAAACATATCTGAAATATATGTTACTCCATGATTTGATACTAAACCAGTGTTTCCAAAACTTTTCTTAGTTGCAGCGCCTTTTTTTTTTTCAATTACAATTTTTTTTTTCACGTTGCCCCAACCTAAGTAAAGGTATGACTATTCGTATGTAAGAGATAAAAAAAAAAAAAAAAAAACTCGTGTATCTTCGAAGATTTCGCGGCGCCCCTGTGAAGAGGTCAAGGCTCCCCAGGAGAAAGCCCCAACATCGGAATATCAGCAGTACAGCCCCAATTAGGCTGTTTTCAGCAGTGTTGACGTTAATAATTGTCCCCTCCCCCCACCCCTCCCATTTTTTCCCAAAACACAACAAGCAACAAATGTAATGGTTTTAAGGCGACAGTAATGGAAATATCGGCATAGACCTGAATTTGTATAGACCAATCGGCACTTGGTGGGTGATGTGGTCAGCATCACGCCAGTGGCCTTTACTTCCCAGGAGTCCACCCGCTACTTACTCAAAGCTGGGTCGACCTGGGAGTCAACATCATTTTTAAAGAAAAAAAAAAAAAAAAATGCCCGGCTCCCTCAGGACGCGAACCTACGAAATTCCGATCCGCAGGCGGGAGACTAGTCGCCAACGTAACTGACACTTCCTTGAAGAGGCAGTTGTTGAGAATAAACTCTTTCTGATCCTGGACTTCTTTCTGATTTTGAGGTGTCATTTATCGTGAAGCACGTATGACGCTAGGAGCCGGGACAGATAAGCGGGTAGACCTCAGCTCTCGGTCCGAATGTCTAGAGTTTAAATCTCGATGGAGGCCGATTTTTTGTTTCAAATTTGGCCTTGGCTCCCAGGTTGACCTAACCTAAACTGGGTACTAGATGATGTGCCAGGAAGTTAAGGCAACCTGTTCGGTTTTGACCACATCCCCCAAAGAGTGCCGACTGGTCTATAATAATTTAGATCTAGCTCTATGTGTCAGAAAGGAGCGCCGCCATAAAGAAATCATTGGCGGTGGTTGGTGGGAGGCGGGGGGGAGGGGGGGGGGGGGGGGTGTTTTCTTAGGTTTTGGGAAAGTGGGCCGCTCAGACGGTTTCAGTGGACATTATTATTATTAGTATGATTATTATGCGGCTTTGGCAAGTCAATATAAAGTATTAGAGATACACCAGTTTTTAAAATTGCTATATCTATTCATAGTTATGGAAGCCGTTTAACTTGCTTACAAACTTATTAGTATCGACACATCAAGGCTCATTGGGTTTGAATGTGCAATTATTATTATTATATTATTATTATTATATTATTATTATTATTATTATTATTATTATTATTATTATTATTATTATTATGTGCTTTGGGCAAATAAATGTAATGTGTTTGAGATAATATGAAATATTTAACAACAAAATTAAAAAAAAAAAAAAGGTTACACAACCCCTTGTACATTTTCTTACTATTTTCTTAGTGCCCTCAGCCTATAAATATTGTTAAGTGTGGGCTGATAAGAGGCGGGGGAGGGAGGGGAAGGAAAACTAGCATTGGTGGAGGGGGGTGGCGGGGGCGGGAGAAAAGGCTGGCATTGTGGAGGGGGTGGGTGGGGGGCGGCGGGGGTTGAGGGCCAGGGAACGCTAGCATTGTGAAGAGGGGGGGGGGGGGGAATGCTGCATTGGTGAACGGGGCGGAGGAAAGGATGGCATTGGTGTGGCGGGGGAATGGGGTGGCCTCTCGGTGCCTGAGCTTCCAGGTTCTCGCGTCTCAAAGCCTAATTGCGTCAAAGGCACCTTAAAGAGTCTCATAAATTATAAACGCTTGTTAAATCAGGAACCGTGACCTTATCAAAACGGCGCCTAACTTATAAATTACACTACCACACTCAAGACGTTTCCGTAACAAATTCAACCCCCCCCCCCCCCCCTCCCCCACCTTTTATTTTCCCCGTTCAGAGTCCGCTCAGAGTACCATTGCCGAAGGTACCAGAAGCAAGCAATTTGAGTCTAGTCTTTCAATGTCATGTCTGCCAGATCGTCGGTCCTCTCTCCCCTCCTCTTCCCAGCTGCAATATTCTGTTTAAGTAAATAGACATGAGTTCCGTTATCGTGGCTTTCAGAGAGTCGCATGAAAGTCTAACCGTGGAAGAGATGGCCCAGGGGTCTCACCAAATAATAATCGCAGGTGTGGCATTGAATACACTTCCACCGACATACATTGTGGAGATGACTCAATGTTTGTTCCACTTGTTTGTAACACCAGGTACCAGTGTCGTAACTTGCAGGTCCTATTAGGCTACAGGGTTGTTAAAAATGCCATAATTTGCTCTGTACAGAATGTAGCCCCAAAAAATATTGCAAGTAACTTTCTGAGGTTTTTAATAACTAGTTAGGCCTACGAGGATTTGTTGTTCAAAGTTTTTTGGCTTTCTTTTGTACGACTACCTTACCCTGGCTCCGTGGCATGTTTTTTAAGTGTTAACTAATTTTCTGTTCGAGAGTCGCCGTGGCGTAGCGGCTAGATGCTAGCACGCGGATCAGAAGGCCGTGTGTTCGCTCGACACGGATTTTTTTTTTTTAAACTGACCCTGTTTCCCAGGTCGACCCAGCCTTAAGTGGGTACCGGGTGCAGTCCCGGGAACTGAAGGCGACTGGCGTGATGCTGACCACATCACCGATCTTGTGCCGATTGGTCTAATCAAATATAGATCTAGTCCTATATGTCCCATACGCCTAAAGCCATGGAAAAGAGACCTTCTGTTTTAACTTGTTTGTTGGAATCAGTGTAAAGGCGGATATTTTCTTCACGGCTCTGATCCTGGTTCCTAGATCGATTCAATATAAAATGGTATCAAGTGATGTCTTAGGATGTAAAAAAAAAAGGGGGGGGGGGGGACGATGTTGACCTGTCACCTATCGAGTGCCGATTGCTCTATACAAATAAAAGTTTACCACTATATGTTGGATGCGCCAAAGGCGTAAAATGTGTCCTTTGATGTTTTATTATTCTTTAACTTTGCTAGTTGTTTATAAAATGCACAAGTCAATTTTATGGCTATCCATAACAGAGAAAAATGACAAAAGATGTTCTGCTAGATATATATTATGTTCTGTGTTTCCGTAACACTTCTTTCATATGTGCGTGTGGTCAATTATAATATCAGTTGACTTTACCTCCGTGGTAAGTTGTTCATTCCTGGTTCAGGGTCTCTGTGACTTGCAACCGAGTTCCGTTCCGACTAACAGGTCCAAGTCGAACTGGTCATAAGTCAAATTTACATTTTTAAACACTATTTTCATTCAAAAAGTTTATAAAAATTTGACGCATAACACATAAAGTCAATATATGTAAGTATTCTGATTTTACATAAGGTGAAAAATACAAGATGTGTACTCAATTGCAACAGTTTAGGTATTTTTTAAAATCCTACCAATGTAGTTGTCTTTCTTTGTTTACTTTTTTTTTATTTTTTTTTTATTGAGCTGTATCCATCATTTTCTGCATTTGTGTCTGCATTTTTGCTATCAAGATGATGGCATACATAGGGCTTCTATTACGATCGTATACTTCTTTCTTTGGTATATTTGCTATTGATCCCATCATGTGCTCATCCAGCATGGAAAAGAAATCAGGAGAACATATCACTGGTTCATAAATTTCCGCATGCCCTGGAATATTGACAACAGTCCATAAAAATGCCATAACATGTCAAAATATGAGTCCAGCAACATATATACGAGACTCATTAACCAACCAACCAACCAGCCAGACAAACAACCAACCGGTGAGCTAGCTAAAACAAACCAAATAACCAGTGTATCAGTCAACCAACAAATCAAGCAGTCAATTGACAAATGAAGCGCCAAACAACGAACGATTTAATTCAACCTCAGCTTAATCACTTATTTAACAAGGGATTGATTATTAGTTTAATCAGTACAAAAATCAACTAAAAAATACTAAAGCAAACAAATTTAAAATCTTCCATTTCCTCTGTTTTATTTGTTTTTCCTTTATTTTTGTTGCCTGGATACAATTAATAATTTTCGTTCGATTTTGTATCTTTCCTTAACATATATAATTAATAACCCTGTTTCAGGTTATTAGTTTAAGCGACCACTATAAATCGGTTTAGCCCAGAATTATGCAGACAAAAGAATATGCTCTTCACCTTGATTTTACCCTGGCGAAAAAGACAGTTTTTGTATGAAGTCGATTTTGTGTTTTAGTCCGAAAGATTCATTTATTTGCTTTATTTTAATCAATTGCTACTGCACCATACGAGATACAGCGAAACTTGCTAGATATTACATTGTGCAGTCTGTTGTTTGTGTATGTTAAAATTTACAACGGGGAAACACTGCTTCAATTAGTTTAAGAATATGCAAATTATGTTGCTTTTAAAAAGTTTACTATAAAGAGGTGTTCATATATTTCAAAACACACAAATTTTTTTGCTTTTATAAAAGTTACTGTGAAGAGGTGTTCATATATATCAAAACACACACATCATGTTGCTATCACATGAAAGAGGTGTTTGTATTTATCAATCGAATAATTAAAGTAACAAGCTTTTTTCGATGACTGGAGTTAGGCAGGGCAAACCTTGTTTTTAGGCATTTATTGATTATATCAAGGCATTTGATTGTGTCCAACACCACAAACTGGGGACTACAAGGGAAAGTATGGGGTTTCCAGCGCATTTAGTGCATTAATTTGAAAATCTTTATCATGAACAACAAGCAGCCATCAGAGCAGCTGGTGAAAAATATGATTGGTTCGAGGTGCAAAGGGGGTGAGGCAGGGATGCATTTTCTCACCATACCTATTCAATATATGCGCAGAAAATATAATGAGAAATGTCAAAAATGACCAGACTTGTGACAGTTTTGATCCGTTCAAAATTTGCGGCAACCCTATTTCGGAACTCCGCTACGCAGATGACACAGTCCTCCTCTCGAACAGCGTAAGGGGAACAGAAAATTTAATATTGCCTGTCCAAAAGCACAGTAAAGATCAAAATCTTTAATTGAATTTAGGCTCTACAATAAACAACAATAGAGACTGTTCGACAGAAATTAAAAGGAGGATAGCCATAGCAATGCAAAGATTGAACAGCCTTAAAAGTCTATGGTTAAGCACCAGCAAGGAGATAAAAATTAAAATTTTAAAAGCATGCATCTTTCCTGTGGCTACATACGGATGTGAGTCGTGGACAATCTCTCTGTCCTTAAGAAAGAGAATAGGAAAAGTTTCTCAGAATATCTTGGACAAAGAATATGAGAAATATTGACATTTTGAAAGATCTGAACATAAAGGAAGAGTGGCTAATAAACAGCATCCTTTCTCGAATGCTGAAATATTTTGGTCATATCAAGCGCCACGACGGATTAGAAAAAAAATTATAGCAGAAGGCGTGGTCCCAGGAAGGAGAAGCAGAGGCCGACCGACACGAAGATAGGCACAGGATATCAGTTACTCCTTGAGTATGAAAGTACATGAGGCGGGAGAGCTGGCTAACTTATTTCAGGCAGACTGTGATGAGAGCGACGTTCTTCAAAGGACCTGCTACATGATAATGATTTACATCTGGACCGGAGTTAGCCAGGCCAAATCTTTTTTTTTTTTTTTTAAGGCAAGTTATTTACATCTTCTATGATCGTATAAAGGTTTAAAATGAAAATAAATCAAAAACATAAAATACATGAGCATTGCTAATTGAAATAGGAGTCGTGGTGATATCGTAGCAGGATGCTCCCTTTCTAGCCTGAAGCTTTTGGCTCTAGTCCGTATCGAGCAGGAATATCCAATACCCCCTCCCCCCCCCCCCGCCCACCACCCCCTTTCAAAACTGAAATTGGCTCTCAGGTAGAGACAGCAGAGAATGAATACTTGGTAATATCCATGGAAGAAAAGGCGGTAGGAATGATGCTTTTCACATCCGCCAACTAGTACCGATGGTCTATACCAGGGATATTCAACAAGTGGCCCGTGGAACAAATCTGGCCCCCAGAGGTCTATCAGGTGGCTAGCGGATCACCTAGTAACTTTTTTGTATTCTATGCTGGGGTTCAGATCTCTGGCCCACGACGACTCCCATTTTTCAATAGATGGTCCCTGAGTATACCGAGTTGAATGACCCTGATCTACACAATATATATCTAGCATGACCTGTTTAATGCAAACCTGGTGTATAACGAGTCCTTCACCTTATTCTTTTTAAAATTAACTTTAAAATTAACATATTCTTCAGCTTCTGAAAATACTACAACTACTAAAACAACTACCAATACCGCTTCTACTACTACTACTACTACTACTACTACTACTACTACTACTACTACTACTACTACTACTACTACTACTACTACTACTACTACTACTGCTGCTGCTGCTGCTGCTGCTGCTAATACTACTACTGCTGCTGCTACTGCTGCTGCTGCTACTGTTGCTTCTAATACTACTTCTGCTTCTACTACTACTGTTACTACTGCTGTTCCTGCTGTTGCTGCAACTACCACTACTGCTGCTGCTGTAAATACAACTCTGACTACAAAAACAGCAAAAAGAGGAAATACTAATACATATTACCACTGCTGATGGCACAGTATTTGCTGATACAGCTGCTACTTTTAGTACTACCACTACTTCTATATCAGCAGATGCAAAAAATTACTAATCTTGAACTAACGCTAGTTTTACTGTTACACCAACTGCTGCTGCTATTTCTACTGCCATTATGTGAGTAACTACAGTTATAATCAGTGATACTAATGTAATTAAAATTAGCAATGCAGAAAAACTAAATATAACTATTATTGCTATTTTTACCAAAACTACAACAAGAGCAACAACAACAACAACAACAACAACAACAACAACAACTATTACTACTATTACTACTACTACTCCTGATGCTGTTGTTACTACTACTAACACTAATACACTAAATACAAAAGCAGTAGCAGCAGCAACCTCAGCAACAACAGCAATAACAACAACAACAACCTTAACTACAAATACTACTAGTATGCTTCTATGACTATTACTTTACATTAGAGCTGTTAATTTATTATCAAATATCTCTTTGCAATAACAGCCTGGATCTTTCTCTCCCGCATTCCAAAAGACGAGTGATTTCTCCATGGGAGTGCATCAATCCCGTCTCGCCAGGTTCTGAGGAAGAGTTCAGATCCGAAGGTGAGAGCAGACGACAGCTTGAGAGGCACCCTGTGGCCATGTTGGCGGGAGACACCAGCGGCAACACTGAGAACCGTCTTTCCTCCCGCAACAGGGGTAAAATGGCGTCACAAGATGGTATGTATACGTAAGTACGTAGGTACATGTGTGTGTGTGTGTATGTCTGTCTGTCTGTCTGTCTGTCTGCTTGTCTGTCTGCCTGCCTGCCTGCCTGTATGTATGTATGTATGTATGTATGTATGTATGTATGTATGTATGTATGTATGTATGTATGTATGTATGTATGTATGTATGTATGTATGTATGTATGTATGTATGTATGTATGTATGTATGTATGTTTGTTTGTTTGTATGTATGTATGTATGTATGTATGTATGTATGTATGTATGTATGTATGTATGTATGTATGTATGTATGTATGTATGTATGTATGTATGTATGTATGTATGTATGTATGTATGTATGTATGTATGTATGTATGTATGTATGTATGTATGTATGTATGTATGTATGTATGTATGTATGTATGTATGTATGTATGTATGTATGTATGTATGTATGTATGTATGTATGTATGTATGTATGTATATGTATGTAGGTATGTAGGTATGTAGGTATGTAGGTATGTATGTATGTAGGTATGTATGTATGTATGTATGTATGTATGTATGTATGTATGTATGTATGTATGTATGTATGTATGTATGTATGTATGTATGTATGTATGTATGTATGTATGTATGTATGTATGTATGTATGTATGTATGTATGTATGTATGTATGTATGTATGTGTATGTATGTATGTATGTATGTATGTATGTATGTATGTATGTATGTATGTATGTATGTATGTATGTATGTATGTATGTATGTATGTATGTATGTATGTATGTATGTATGTATGTATGTATGTATGTATGTATGTATGTATGTATGTATGTATGTATGTATGTATGTATGTATGTATGTATGTATGTATGTATGTATGTATGTATGTATGTATGTATGTATGTATGTATGTATGTATGTATGTATGTATGTATGTATGTATGTATGTATGTATGTATGTATGTATGTATGTATGTATGTATGTATGTATGTATGTATGTATGTATGTATGTATGTATGTATGTATGTATGTATGTATGTATGTATGTATGTATGTATGTATGTATGTATGTATGTATGTATGTATGTATGTATGTATGTATGTATGTATGTATGTATGTATGTATGTATGTATGTATGTATGTATGTATGTATGTATGTATGTATGTATGTATGTATGTATGTATGTATGTATGTATGTATGTATGTATGTATGTATGTATGTATGTATGTATGTATGTATGTATGTATGTATGTATGTATGTATGTATGTATGTATGTATGTATGTATGTATGTATGTATGTATGTATGTATGTATGTATGTATGTATGTATGTGTGTATGTGCGTGCGTGTGTATGTATGTGCGTGCGTGTGTGCGTGCGTGCGTGCGTGCGTGTGTCTGTCTGTCTGTCTGTCTGTCTGTCTGTCTGTCTGTCTGTCTGTCTGTCTGTCTGTCTGTCTGTCTGTCTGTCTGTCTGTCTGTCTGTCTGTCTGTCTGTCTGTCTGTCTGTCTGTCTGTCTGTCTGTCTGTCTGTCTGTCTGTCTGTCTGTCTGTCTGTCTGTCTGTCTGTCTGTCCGTCTGTCTGTCTGTCTGTCTGTATGTATGTATGTATGTATGTATGTATGTATGTATGTATGCATGTATGTATGCATGTATGTATTATTTAGGTATGTAGGTAAATATTTTTTCTTATAGATTTTGAAAAGTAAATAAACACTAAACCTCCCACCAAAGGCACACATCTGTGAATATATTTATTATAATTCTGCGTCAAGGAGTATCTGTTGTGTGTCAGTTGTTCCATTTGGTTTCTGTATCATGAAGCAGTGATGTGTACAAATGTTATATTTTGTGTTCACTTTTTTCTCAAATAATAGGTTTACCTATAAAGAATTCACAATTACCGTCACTGAAATACCTGTAACTAGCTGCAATTTTTTAAACTGTATTATGCTGTCACATTCTAAACCTTGATGACATGACAAATATATCTTAACATGTCTTGCAGATTCATCAAAAATTAGGCGGAAAAGATCAAGGGCATCGTTTACGCATGCGCAGGTCTACGAGCTGGAAAGGCGCTTCCGTCATCAAAGATATTTGTCAGGACCGGAACGTGCTGAGCTTGCACAGTCATTGAAACTGACTGAGACACAGGTGAATTTGCTATTCATTCATTTTTTTGTGATGGTTGTACAAACAGTCAAGCCTTTAGCATCACGTCCTGTGTGTGGTGGGCTCATATTCCAACAGTACCCTTTATAGATCATCTGTGCATTTTCCACTGGCCATAGCTCTGATTCCCAAATCTTGAAGGAAGGTTAAACGGGCACTAATCAGTATTACTGATAGTAAATATACAGCCCTAGTGTAAAATAATAGACATAGCAGTATAGTAGTATTAGCAGCAGCAGTAGTAGTAGTATTAGTAGTAGTTTTTGTAGTAGTACTTTTTGAAATAGTAGTTGTGGTAGTAGCATTAGTAGTAGTAGTTGATGTTTTTTGTAGTAGTAGTAGTAGTAGTAGTAGTAGTAGTAGTAGTAGTAGTAGTAGTAGTAGTAGTAGTAGTAGTAGTAGTAATAGTAGTAGTAGTAGTAGTAGTAGTAGTTTTTGTAGTAGTAGTGGTAGTGCTGGTGGTGATAAAGGTAGTTCTTGTTGTTATTGTTGTTGTTGCAAACGGTGCAGTAATGAAAGCAATAATACTCATATTGTGGATCGTTGTTAAAGTTACTGTGCTCTTTGTGGCGCTTTCGGATTCCATTAGACTCTACAGTGAGAGACCAAGCCAAAAGTTACAAAACCTGATGCAATGACGTACACCTTCTCATCTCTTAACAATTTTATTGCTTACTGTCTGTGCTGACCAAGAAAAAAATAACTTTTCTCTTAAGAAAATTGAATCTTCTTCTTCTTCGCGCTTACATGCTGCTAACTGCGCCGGAAAGTTCTGGTTGTTCGTTCACTTCTGTTCTCTAGTCTTGTTTCAGAAACTGAGTGTTGCCTGTACATCTGTTTTACAGCTCTGATTCATTTACATGCAGACTGCTGGTTCCTTGTCTCTTACGCAAAGGTATTCTGATTTCGAAGGAAGCTCCCAATTAGTCGACTCTTACGACATGTTTTTCAGCAGGGAGCGGAACTATTCTTATTTCCCCCACAATGGGGCCCTGGACCCAACACGGGGAAGAAAATGTAATGTAATCCAGCAGACAAACGAACGAATATGTAAGAGACCTATATTTTCGTTTATTATCTGGGAAAAAATAATCAGCAACTAGTCTTTGCAACCACTCAAGAATTAGCGGGAAGGTAACAATCCCAAGTTTCTATTTTATTCATGACTAAATGCATGCACATCTAAACTAATCGAGTCCACTGAATGTTACACATAATTCTTAGTGTTTATATGAGATAAATGTAGATTTCTTAAAGTATACATGTTGCTGCATAATCATTATACATAGGAAAGCTCTCCGCGGCGTAGTGGTCAATATGTTTGTCTTGCGCAGTGAAGGTCTTTGGTTCGTTTCGTTTCACCGGTTGGTTCAATGTACAATTTTTACAGATATCATTAGGGATCGTCGCCCGAGCTACGAAGTTCGTTCTTTGGGCGATGCTTTCGGCAGGTGGTTGGCTTTTCTTAGGAGAGAGACAGAGGACTATGCGATAATATTCACTGCAATAAAGTCGAACTATAAATAAATAAGAAAGCTTTGAGGTGTACTTAGATGGTTTTCAGATGGAAAGGTCACAGGCCTCCATGAAGGTTGTGGTTCGATACATGTCCTCTCCTGATCCCTGCGGCTTGGTTTCCACCGGAAAGCCAACTGGTCAGACCTGGATTTAGAGCGTGTCTGATGCACATTTTCTGTATTTGATCGTGTTTGTCCACGCGGGCAGAGTTCTGATTCCCCAGTCTTCAAGGGAGGCTAATACGGTGCAACACATGCCTGAAGAAGCAAGATGTGTCGGCTTAAAGGCGTAAAATGCATTTACGTCTTTGAAAAAACGCAGTCGAAGAAAAACAATTTTGTGTGTGTGCGTATGGCTGCGGAGTTTGTCCAGTTCGCAATGTAAAAACAGTTGTCTGTTGTAAGTTAGTTTGAGATTTAAAGTTTAAACAACGCATTAAAAAAAAAAAATTTAAATATCAAGAAACCATAAGTTCTTAACCATTTGGCTCGGTACTATGAACATCGCAACCCTTCGGCCTTGATTCCATGATAAATACCCTACATCTGGGAGAAATGTGGCTTTTCCGCCTACCCTCAGGCGTGAACCCGGACCACACGGAGTTCGTCACCCGGTGTCGCGAAGTCAGGTTTAGCCAAGTACGCTAGCGAGCCGGGCAAATTTGGGCTCGTCCGGGATTTGTATCCGGGACCTCTTGTGCTCTGTTCTTCTTCCAACCCAAGTCCGAAGAAGCTCAGTACTGAGCAACGGCTCTGTAGCACTGGCGAGGATAGTGAAATACTTTAGGTAGATTTTTAACTCGAAATTTTGCCTGGGCAGCGCCGTCAGGCTTCTTTTTTTTCGATTTCCAACTGCTAAGGGATTTTTTTTTTACGCACGAAACAATGCACACGGGCGTCCGATCACACCACCCAAAGACTAGGGGAAATACTAGAAGTCCAAGTCCACGTGAAAAAATTCCAGCTCTTACCGGGGATTGAACCCGGAGCCTCTAGCACTCGAGGCGGACACCATGCCTCGAGACCACGCATGTAAAACGTGTTGACAATGTTGTTTTCTCTCTTCTGCAGGTAAAAATCTGGTTTCAAAACCGCCGATATAAAACAAAACGACGACAACTTCACGAGGAACAACTAATGGCGGCCAACGCCAAGAAAGCGGCAGTGACCCTACTGGTCAAGGACGGCAAGAGATTGGCCGACCCGCGAGATTACATGAGTTCGCTTCTGTACTCTCAAATCCCCAACACAGCGGCTGCGTACAACTATCTATACTATTTTTAATTTTAGTAGATGACAGCTGAGGCCTTTGATTTTTTTTAAAGAACTTTGTCGTTGAAGCTTTGTTTGAGGAGAGGATTGACCGCAAAATCACGTTACAAATGTTTATGAATGTTAAGATAATGATCACTCATTTTGTACACCTTGAATAATCGACATGAAGGTATCTCGTATGTACAAACCTGTTTCAGGTTTCTTATTCAATGTGACACGTATACTGGTTGTTTATAGCTATTTATCTATATGTGTTACTTGGAAAACACATACACACACCCATATATTGCTAACCGTGTAGGTTCTGGGGTGCTATATGGGGGAGGGGGAGATAATACAGACCCACTATGCACTCTGAAAAGTCAAGAGTGTCTCTGCCAAATAAGACAAATCTGTAAAATGGATGCGCACGCAAAACTCATGGGAGATGATTATTATCCATAAATGGATGAACAAGCAGAATTTTGCTTCAGAGTTTACAATGCCCCGCTCTGCACATCCAAAAGATGTTGTCTGAACCTGTCAGCCATTCGTCGACCCGTTTCACCGATGTATTTCATGCCACATCGTTTGCAGTTGACAGCGTAAATGGCATTGCGGTTCTATTCGGTTTTGAGCACAAATGACCATATTCTATTGCAAGGAAAGAGACTAACAAAATCAAAAGCAAAACATTATAGTAACCACTGAAGCTACACGCTGAGACGACAGGAAGACACATTTTGAGATTTATAGATCATCATCACAAAGTGTCTAGTACAGGGAAAAGGCAGCCGCCGTGATGTAGCGGCTAGACTCTCTTTTTCCCGTCATTTGCACATCAGGCATATTGTATAGAGCTACATTTGTATAGACAATTTCTTTTAATGTGTAATGCTTCCAACACAAGGTCGACTGTCTTAATTTTGTATGGCATTTCCACTTACTATTTTAGACTGTTGATTCGTGAGCTAAAATAAATTATTTAACTATTCTGTCTCGCTGTCGATTTGAAACCGAGAGTTTTGAGATAGTTATTAAACGACCAATTACTTCTTCAGTGATTCCTAAGGACAGTCATCACAACCCTATGGAAAGATCCATCACTACTTCGCCAGCTTCCTACTCAACAGTGCCAAAAACACAACAGACCTCCCATTCTGCTGTTATTAATCAACTGACATGTGATTTAGTGATATATTCACTTCTAGGGGATTTAAGCTAAACTGACAATGACATTACCCACCCAGTGCCAAATGGTTTTTTAAAAAAAAGGTCTAGCTTCATACGCACGAGCATGGCACCTGCGCAAGGATGACACGCAAAGCGTTCCATTTTTTTTTTTTTTGCGCCGTCCGTGGCCCAGGCGTCCGATTCGTAATTCCAAAGTACCGCGATTGAAACCCACTGCTGGCTGCGTGGATTTTTATCATGGTATGTGGCATCAAAGGTTGACCTAGCCTAAAATCAGTACTAGGATGAATGCCTTGGACAAGCAAACACAGCCGGCACAATGCTGACAACATTACCCCGCTAATGCCGATTGGTCTGTAAAAATATGGGCGCAATTCACATATGCCCGATTCGCCGGAAGGCGTCAAAAAGGATCTTTACTTTTTACTTTACTATCATACGCCCGACACGCAACTGGCGCCGAAAAGTTATTTACCCTTACCCTCTTTGTTTTTTGTTTTAAATAAATGTTTGAACCCTGATGTCAAACGGTTGTTCTTAGATCCTAGCGATGTTAAATATGTATATAAAGAGAATGGTAATTATGTTATGCTATATTGTCTATTATGTAACAATGGATATATGAGTTAGTTCATACTTTTGTTGTTTAATGATAACTTTACTGTGTTCAGTGATACATTTTTTTAAGTTACATTTTACATGAGTATGCGTATAGAATGACCTGCAGAAACAATTTATTTCCAGTAAAATATTTTGGTGGCGGTTTCGTTAAAGTATGCGTATATTGTGGTACAGTTATGAATTGATCGGTGCATGCAGTTTTTTCTGAATAAAGTGCCATATTAAAAGTAACTGGTAATCCTAGCTACTCGTTTATATGATATTATGTTCGCTTTCTTGATATATATATATATATATATATATATATATATATATATATATATATATATATATATATTTAAATCAATGTTTGTGTGTTTGTTTGGTCTCTATAGACTCGGAAACTACTGAACCGATTTAGCTGAAATTTTCAGGATATGTTTGTTGTGATACCGGATTTTGAAACGTCGTGGTTTGAAATTCAACCTGTCACTGTTAGAGATAGGTTAGTAATTGCGCATGCGCCATATTTACCATTCGCCGGCGAGTTACGTTCAGCCAACGCCTTCTCTAATACTAATACATAGAGTAGGTCGTGGTACAGCAAACAAGACTATCTCTATATTTGCCACAATAACCATATTAAACACGATTTCTATTTTCTTTTTTTTTTTCAAACAACCTTCGATGGGGGGGGGGGGGGGGGGGGGGAGGGGCAATCAAGGACTATCTCGACGTCGGCGCAGACATTGACTGCGACATTAACTTCATTAACTGTGTTAGACACGTGCGATTTCCATTGTTGTGCCGTTTCATAAATATATCTGGAGTATCTATCTGTCTACGAGAAAACAATTGCCTGCGGTTTTGAATTGTTTTAATTAGGATTCAGTAGTAGGGACACATATCTCTAATAGTTGAGTTCTCTTTTCGTTTATCCGATTAATTGGCTGCTTGGTCGAATGGTTAGAACACTGGGTTCCTTTGCGGGAGACCTGGGTTCGAATCCGCAGTAGTTAATATTTTTTTTTTTACCCCAGACTAAAATAATATCCTCATCTGCTCTGTCGTGGTGACAGCACTAGCCATGTTGCCTTAATATTAAAAAAAAAAAAAAAAAGACAAGTAAATTGGTAAACCATTTGATAATTAAATTTGACCATTTCGCATACTTATGATTGCATTTGAAAATTTTCCAATTGCATGGTTACGCTGAAATTTTATAGATTTTCATTTATTTTCATTTAGATTTAGTTATTTCATCTGCGTTGGAATTTTAAGCTGTGCTGTTTACCATGGCGTTCATTTCCTAATTATGGTGTTTTTTTCCTGTGTTCATTTGTTTTTCAAGTTTTTTTTTTTTTCCACCCAACTACTTCAATGAGAGAAAGAGTTGTCGGTGAATTTGGGGGGGGGGGGGGGGGAACTATATACTGAGAGAGCTTTAAGTCATAGTAACTGCTTTACCCACTTAAAGTAGCAGCAGCAGTAATAGTTGTGGTTGGGCTGTTACACCATAGTGCTCTCATGTGAAGACCGCCGGTAAGGTTATGGCGTTCTTCTGTCGGCAAGTTAAATTATACATCCTAACCTGACCAGTCTGTGGCGACAGCACTAGCCATGCGGAACCAAATCTTCTGGCTCACGACTCTCTGTCTACTCCGATGGTAACACAGATAGCAGTGACATTATTTTAGTAGTTGTACTGGTACTTGAAGGATGATGTGGTAAATATTACACTAGCCCCATTCACTACCTATTACAATTCCTGCTCCCCATTTTAGTCCAGATGGAGAGGTATGTCAATGTCAGTTACAGCAACAACAAAATATCGCCAAGTAATGATTTTCAAATATTTCGAAGAGGGAGAGAGCAGTAGTCGGTGGAAGAGGGGAGGGGAGGCAGGTAATGACTTAAATTTGAGAGAACTTAAAGAGCTTTACACGTGATTTTCAAGTTCTCATTACCTAATTTGTTTATATTTTACTAACGCTACCTATGTGATACCTACGCTACAGCATGTGATAATCAAATAACCACTTTTGTTACCGTGTTAATAGCACCATTTAGACGACCACTAATATAAAGACACAATTATATGGTGCGTGTTCTAAAGTTGGGAAACCAGACTATCTCTACATAAATGTGCAGAGAATGATTGCGACATTAACTATATTAGACAGGTGCGATTTCCATTGTCTTTCTTTTCCAAAAACATTTGATGAGGTAGAGGGTAGTAGGTGGATTTAGTTGTGGGGTGCGGGTGGGGTGGAGATCAAAGACTATTTCTTATCTGAGCAGACAATGATTGTATTAGACACGTGCGATTTCTATTTTCTTTCATTTCCATTTAGCCAAACTATGCCACAGCAACGCGTGGCCGGGTACAGCTAGTATCTTCTTCTTCTTCTTTCGTTCACCTGAAATAAGTTATCTATATCAGCAGTTTTGTCTCTTGTATAAATTTCACTGTCGTTGTTAGTTCATTCAGTGGTCCATAGAGTTTTCGTTCCACTGTTGTTCTTTCTGGCCAAAAGGTTTGCCTTAATGTGTCAAAATCGGTGCAGTCCTGGAGTACATGCTCTGCGGTCTGGGGCACATTTCCACAGGTGCACATGGCTGATACACCTATCTTGAATTTTGTGTACATGTGGTTACGTAATCGGTTGTGCCCTGTTCTGAGGCGGAAGATAATGACTTGTTCTGGTCTGTCCATAATAAAATAGTCGTCTTGTGCTGGGGCTGGTGGTTTCTTGGTCGATTTAATTATTCTTTTCTTTCGGTGGTATGTGACTGGTACATCTGGCTGCTCTTTTTTCGCACCTTCCCCTGCCAGTTGATCAGCTTTCTCATTTCCAGGCACTCCACAATGAGACGGTATCCACTGCATTACGACTCTTCGCTGAACGCTGAGTTGTGTCAGCAGTGTTTGCAATTCTGGTAGTTTCCTAGACTGGAGTGCTTCAAGTACTGATTTAGCATCTGTAAGCATTACCACATACTGTGAGCCAAGGTTGGTATTTAGCAGTTTTTCTGTGTCTATCTTAATAGCCTGGGTTTCTGCATCGTAGTTATGGCAGTACTTCCCGGTTGGTACGCTGGACTTATCCCTAGTACCATCTGGGAATTCGATGTACACTCCAGCACCACCATTTCTAACTGCACTTTCTGCGGACCCATCTGTATAGACTCTGACCCATTGTTCTTGTGGGTATTCTTCATCAATATAACTGAGG